GGTAGCCATTTGTTGCCCTGACCCAGGGCTGCTCCTTAAACTTTAGACTCTCAACTTGTGTGTGTGTTAACCCCTTATCTGTTTCCCCTGCCCTGACCCAGAGCCAGGCCCTACAAATGGACTCTTGGTCAAAGGCTTGACTGAGGTGTGCCGCACGAACTAGTGGGCACCTGAGGGAGTCAGCGGGGCCGCTCGCTGATGGTGGATGCTGTACACGGACCATGGACAGAAACCATCTACATGTTTTGTTAATTTTTAAGAAGCTACTAGACTATTTGTTGGTTTTTAAGTTTTCCCTGTATCATGTTATTTATTTGTCCTGGGGCTTCCTATGAAGTATCATAATTTTAAAAATAGAACAGTAGCACTTTGCTTTTAAGGCTATTTTTGCCATTTAAATGCATGGATAGTTGAAATTCAATAGAGTAACAATAAGTGCTAATCCAAACCTTCACATAACTCATAATACATGTTCATTATTTAGCTCTCCTATTTAAACACTAGAGAAAATTCATCTGGTTACAAATTACCCATGCTCTGACTCCTTTCTAACAAGTGCACATTCCTTTGTGAATGTCATAAAACGAGGAGTACAGGATCTTTCAAAACAGGGTATTTCTATCGAAAATGCCCTGTCTAAACTACTGTTTTTTTCCCGAAAAGCCCTGTTTTGGAAAAAAGCGGCAGGCGCCCTTGTGCAAATGAAGCGCAGGATATTTAAATCCCAGCTTCATTTGCACTTTCAATGTGTCTAATTTACATCCCTCTGCCAAAAGAGGGGTGTAGTTTAGACACACAATAACTCAAACAGATACATAACATTGTTGTTTATTTGCATTGTATTAGCATCTAAAGGCTGTGATCAAAAGCGGGGACCCATTGTGCTGATTTGCTGGTAACCAACCTAAAATGCCCTTGTGTTAAAAAAAAAAATGTGTATCTCATTATGAAGTGAAAATGTGTCCCTGAGGAGGAAGATCTCTTCCCACCTGTGTCCATGCTTCCCCTGCAGGCCTATTGCAGTTCTGATGGGAGCTGGAAGTGCTGTGAACCCACCCCACGCTATCATAGTTCCTTAGTATGGACACATTGTGTGAAAAGCAGGAGAGAATAGCTCTGCTGCTCTATTTCCTGTTTCCCTGCTGGGCTGCGGAAACCCCATGAAGAGCAGGGTAGGAGCTTGACTGGCTCTGCCTAAGCCCAGGGACATGCATAGCAAAGGATGGCTCCCATCCCCCATCCCATCCTCCCAGGGCTGCCCAACAGAGGTGAAAAAAATTTTCCTTTGACTCCAGTGGGTTTAGCATCAGGCCCTGAGGTAGGAACTGATGCTTTTATTATGGACTGAGATATCTTTGTATATTGGGTAAGTTGGTGTTCGACAGCTAGAATTGCCACTACCCATACAGTACCTGTTCTGAGGACAGAGAATGTCACCTTCCAGTACCAGTAATCAAAACACTTAAATTAGATCAAGATTCAAGGTGATTTGATTAGCTAAGGGTGTTACCTACTTACTATTTCAAGGTGTGTATTAAGCCTAGCAGCACAAAGAAAACCTAAGCATCACATATATTACACTATTGGTTGCCATTCCCAGCCTCGGAAAGCTTATGTAAAACTTGGGCAGGCTACCATCCCTCCCACAGCCATAGCCCATTTATATTTTAATATGAATACTCTACCCTGATTTATTAAGCAAATAGTTAATACTGTGCTTCTATTTAAGGAACATTGTATATGTTCATTACTGTGCCACTTTTGTAGACATTTGCCCACAGGCTCAGCTGTCTGAAAAGGTCAACAGAAGTACAATTTCCATAATTTATACGGTTGTTTTTTGCTTGTTTGTGTTTGTTGTCACTATCACTACTACAAGTAATGTCCTGTGGGATATTAGCAGCATTATTATTCTATGTGAACAGCACTTTTTGTATTAACTATGTAAATAATGCCAAATAATACCAAACATGGGAGAATATAGCATTAGGAACAATGTTGCACTAAGAGACACAAGCTGCCTATTAATCATTGTCTTTTCTCCTTTTCCAAGAAGGTCCTGGTGACATTGTAAAGATGATCTCAGAGCCAATTTTCAGCAACAAGCAAAGATCATGCCTCTTCTGCCTAAATTAGGGTGGGCAATGCTCATCTTTCTCGCCTTCAGCAGCCTCCACTCTTCCTTCTCTAAGATCTGGGATTATATTAAACAAGAGGATAAGCAGTAGAAAGAAAAATGTGCAGCCATATTGACAGGCACAAGAACTAATAAATAACCATAAACAGGAACAGTATTCAGATTTAAATGGCCCCTATGAACTATTTTATCCATCATAACAAGATGCAGAATAATAAACTATTAGAATTTCATATGTGGCTCAGTTTTCATACAGAGGAGACACAAATGTTACATTCAGGACCCCCAAAGTACCATTTAATATAAAATCAACATGTGCACACCTACATACTAAATTAAAAGCCTACTAAAATGCTTAAATTAGGGAATTGGTGGCAGAATTCTCATTGCTGCATCCGTGCCATCTTTGCATACTTCAAGAACTAATGGTATAAGGGGAAATATTTTTTTTAATGAGCTATAAATGGGTTGGTCTGATCCATGTCTTCAATTGGCAGTGCCCACAAAGCCTGATAAAAACCAAATCTGTTTATGCCTAACATTTGCAATCAGAAATGTGGATGTGCACAGACTACTCCATTGCTCCCAACTACAGTATTTTCATAATTTCCCCCCAAAAGTATGTCATTGCTCACAATGAAAGGGTCATATTCTGACCAGCCTTACTCTAGCCCCTCTCCAGATTCAAACAACCCTCCCTCAGTCATTGTCAAAGAATCACATTTCAGACAGTTCCTAAACCTAAGCCAGATACACACTCTTCTTATTTGACCCATTTAAAAAAGATCATCAGTCTTTAGAAAGAAATGTTATTTAAAAGTTATTCTAATAAACAGATACTAGCTAATTAGTAGACAAATACTTGACTGCTACAGAAGATATCAAACACTAAACATAAAGGCTTACAAATCCATTTAAAACATATATACTGGAAGTATGTGTGTGTATATATAATATATACACACATACAGGTAGTCCCTGAGTTACGCGGATCCGACTTATGTCGCAGTTACGAACGGGGATTTTCTCGCCCCGGAGGACTCGAGCGGCGGGACGCCTGGTCCTGCCACCCGCCTCCTCCGGGGCGAGAAAAGCTGCTCCCCCGCTCCCCGGGCTGCCGTAAGTCGGATTCGCGTAACCCGGGGACTGCCTGAACTACAG